ATACCGGATTTCAAAAACGAAAGAGTTTACCTCAAGAAGTGCGCTGGCAGCAAAGTTAGACTGTTCTAAAGTGAGAAAAAAAAACGCAACTCACCCTCGACATGATCACTTTTGACAACTCATATTTTTCTCAGTTCACAACGGATTTTGCTCATTTTTATTTCATTTGAAAGCGTGTCTCCTGCAGATTCAGAAAAATGGTGAAATGGTGACAAGTTTCAATTAACAAATTTCTTTTTTAAATAAAATGAAAACAAAAATTTAAAACGTTTTTTCTCAAAAAGCGACATTTTAAATTTTTTTAAAAAAGACATTTTTTAAAGAAATAATTTTTACATAAAATATAAAAATTACAAGGTGGTATCCTTTTGGCGTTAAGAGTTTCAATACGATTAGTGATAGCAGAATGGAAAAAACCCTTAATTAAAGCAGAATTTTGGCGCTTTCGCAAGTCCCAGAGCCTCTGTCTCGACCACAATTTTATTTGTTTTTGTAGTATATATAATCCTCGTCAAACTTTTCAACTCCATTACTCCAGTAACAGACAACTAATTAAAATCTATATACTTTTAAACAATTTCACAAAACTTTTTACAAAAAAACTACTGTTGTGGTTATTTTCCGGTTTATATGGCTCTGCTTGCTTATTGAATCTTTTTAACCCATATATATCACGCTAAGTACTTTTTTTCGACTGCAAATATTGTTTTGCTAATTTTCCTCTCAACGTTTTCTAGTATAATGCGATGAAATTTTTTATGCAATTGACTGGCGAATATACGCTAAAAATGTGGTGCTAAAAGTGCTCCTTTCCTTTGATATTTTTGTGAAAGTAATGGAATCAGTAGTATTTCTTAAGTTTGGAGCCTATTTGTGAAGATTATTCTGAGTCAAGATTTAGATTGAAAGTTTCTCTTTCATGCCGGGTATCGTTGCTGATCTTCTTGATATGCCTTCAAGTTTCAAATTAATGCACTGCCGCAACAACAAAAGAACAACAATACTCGCAATGATTTTATTACTTTCACAAAAATATGAAAGGGAAGAAGCACTTCCAGCATCACGTTTTCGCGTAGATTCGCCAGTCAAATGCATAAAGAATTTCATTGCATTATACGAGAGAGCGTTGAGAGGCAAACCAGCAAAGCAATACTAGTAGTCAACAAAAAGTACTGTGTGATATATTTGGGTCAGAAGGGTTCAATGAGCAAATAAAGCCATAAAAACAGAAAAAGTAATCATAATAGTAAGTGCTTCTTAAAAAGTTTTTGTGAAGTTATTGAAAAGAGAATAAATTCTAACTAATTGTCTGTCACGGGGGTAGTAGAGCTGAAAAGTTTTACAAGAATTATATATACTACAAAACCAAATAAAATTTTGGCTAGAACAGAGAGTCTGAGGCTTGCAAAAGCTCCAAAACGCTGTTTGAATTGGAAGTTTTTTCCAGTCTACTACCACCTATCGTATCATAACTCTTGATGCCAAAAAGGTGTCACCCTGCTCTCATTTTGTGTAAAAAATATGTCTTTAAAAAATATTTCTTTTTTGAAAAATTTAAAATATTGCTTTTTGAAAGAAAACGTTTTGAACTTTCGTTTTTATTTTATTTTATAGAAAATTTGCTAATTCAAGCTCGTCACCATTTTTCTGAATCTGCAAGAGACACCTTCCCAATGAGATAAAAACGAGCAAAATCCGTTGCGAAATGAGATGTGACCATGTCAAGGGTGAATTGCGTTCTTTTTTGCATTTAGGACGGTCTAAGTTTACCGCCAGCACACTTTTTGAGGTAAACTCTTTCGATTTTTAAATCCGGTATCAATCGCTACAAGTTGGCAAAAAATGAAAAAAGTCTGAGGGGTCGAGGTGCAGACTTGTGCGATTTGACGTGGAATGGCCCATATATATATACATGCTTATACTATAGTTAATTTTACAGAAGAATAAAAAGAAATCATTCAAGCTCACATAATGAGGATGACTGATACGATAGGTCTGCATTTGCGATACGATCCCATAACGCTGTAACTGCAACGACAAATATTGTGCTGTGTTTCTAAAAGAAAATATCGTAAAAAATGTTCACGACGGTGACCACTGCATTACAGTCTTGATAATATCCATTAAATTTTATTGATTACTTTTATATATCTTACTTTTCTACATTTAGCTCTTTGGCAAAAGCAACAATTCGCTGCTGGTACGAGAAATGTTCAGTAACCAAAGCAGACAACAACGCATTTTCCGAAACCCTTGTAGGGTCATTATAATCCGGAAGTATAATTAGTGATGCAATGACAAGACCGATCAATGGACTAATTAAGCAGACTATCCGCCACTTTTCTACAAGTTTCGAAATAATTTTTGGCGGTTTCCCCACAGACCGAGACATAGGTCGCATCTTTCCGACAGCCTCACTATAACAGATTTTAAGTGTTCCTGGTTCTTTCAAAATGACCAAAAAAAGATGAGCTACAGATCAGTAATTTCCAAACCAAACAATCCATTTTCTCAATAAGACAAACTAATGAAATACGCATTTATCCTAACCACCAATTGAATTTTCAACGATAAAGACAAAACGAAACTCAGTATAAAGCAAAAATGCAGTTTGAAAAAAAGTAACTGGTATCAATTAACTTTTTCAAAATAGCCAGGGAACTGAACCTGCAAACACTATTTGCTACCTTCAGTTCACTATGTTTACAATAACACCAAATAAGGCCAATAGAAATAAAAACTCCAAATTCGGTGCTCTATAAAGTCAGCCCTTTCCAATGGTGCCTATATTAAACCATGGGAAACGAGTTCTCACCATTTTTATCTGAACCATTCCAAATCAACTGCGCATTTTAAAAATTCATAACAGAAATTCCGCCTTAACTTGAAAGAACGGTAAATCTAAGCACTCGATTTAGAAGACAAAATAATTCACCATAAAAAACGCACCCTCAACTGATTTGTCTGCAGGCTCTTGAAAGTTCCTCAGATCTTAATGCATTCATGTGGATCCACAGAACACATATCTTCACAAATAATCCATGCAAAGTGTTTCGTAAACTCAAATTAATAAATAATTTCATTAAAAAAATTATTAAAGAGGTAATCTCCTCTATTAAAGGTACATTCACTGTAAAATTTTCCACCCTAAATGAGAGATTTTGTATAAAAAACTTTGATTTCTGGAGTTTCATAGCAGGTGTCACTTAAGCTACGTAAAAAAAGCTCATTTACATCACGATTTCGAGCCCTTCAATCAAAGATTACAACTGCCATTGTACCAGTAACTTACCTCAGAACCACGTAGTTCTTCTCTACAGGTTAAAATCTGTAGCAGTTCCTATCCCCGAATTCACAAAGAATTATACAACAGTGATCAAGGATAAAATACAACCCTCAAAAAAACTGCTCTTCAAAATTCACTATGACTAACACACAAATAAGGTTCAGATAAACTTTGTCTCTGCAACCATACATTCGTTCTATCCTTTAAATTATAATAATGTGGTGCTCCAGCTTTAGCGGTGTCAAACGCTTCTCAGAAGAAATAATTTACCTACCAGGTGGCATGCGTAAAATCCTCAAAACCAAAGAACTTCCTAACTTGAAATTTGCTGTTTTGGACATTAGGGTTCCAATAGAGCGACACTGTTTAATAAGCTGACACAAGAAAAAGACAACGGCCGTATTATTGTGCTTGTTAAAAAGCTAGCTCTGTAAGTAAACTTTAATCTGCAAAGTCTCCAATGAGTGGTTTCCTCAGAAAACTCAATTGAATGAGCTCAGAAGAACTAGCAGCTAGTATCACTACAATTTTCTGACGATAGACGCGAAAATGATGCCTGTTACCGCACCTAGAAAACCAGTGCAGTATTCCGGACTTAAATGCTACATTTCACAGCATCAACCAGTGAAGCCTTCAGATGGAGAGCCTAATAAGGAACGACATTTCCAAGTTGCTTCATCTAGAAAAACGGGAACAGAAGCTGAAAGTTTGAAGTCAGAACAGGAAGAATTCCAGACAGATATCTTGATGAGACAAATACCACAAGCAAAAGTGAAAGCAACTGTAATTACATACTCAAAAAGTCAGTCAGTTTGCGGAGATAGAAATTTTAATCAGAAACCATACAGTGAAACATCAAAACACGATAAACTGTTTCGCGTTCCCCCTCAAGTCATTCTGGCACTTGTATCCTTAAGTCCGAAAACTCTTCTGTCCAACTGCTTTCACCTTAAAAAGCAGAAAATTTTGTTTAAAACGTTTACAAGTCACTACACCCCAGAAATTCTGTTTCCATTCACAGTCTACTTCCTTGTACCGTATTCAATACCAAAAATAAGTTACTATAGAACTACCATAACCGGCCTTCTTTCACACGAGTTCAAGCTTAGGAAACTCTGTGTATATAAAAATTACAAAACCCACATCTCATGAGCAATCAATTGCTTTGAAATCTGAAAAGTCCTCATGTTTGGAGAACAACTTGATCAAAGAGGCATTTCTCACAGCAAATTCTGTCGTTGCATACACTAGGTGCCTAGACCTACCAAGCACTTATGTTTGGAAGGAATTACTGAAACAGTTCAAAAAATATATGAACTGATATTATATGGCTTCCTTACAAAAACTGGGAGCACCAGAAAGTAGACGCCGTTCCAACATCGATGCTAATGGAGATGGATGGTTAGTAAAAAGTAGAACAACATTTAATGAAACATCTCTGTTACTTTTTACAAAACGTTGGTGAACAAAAAAAATAAAAAAAGGAAATTAGAAAACCAACTTCAGAAATACAAAAAAAAGTTGGTAGAATTACACGTCCCATTAAGCAACAACCAAATAGTTAACTGAAGGACAAATATAACAAACTCGTAGCAGTGATGGGAGAAGTATTATAGCAGTTCAAAAAGCTAAAATCTTATTAGCAGCCAAAAAACATTTAAGTAAGAGAAGCCAACATATTGTCAAAATAATACTTTCATGTGAAAAAAAATCACGTATATAGAGCAAAAATAAAATAACATGTGCGAAAAAAATATCTTTCGAACATAAATAATTTTCAAAATTATTATGCACAATGGAACTGTTATTACATATAATGAGCAAAGCAAAAAAATTAATTAACGAAAACCACAATCAAAGCTTCAAAGAAATACAGCAATTTTAAGAAAATTGAATAACAACAATTAATAAGCAAGATAATAGCAAAATGACAAAATTTTAGTTCCAAACACATAAGTTTATCCACCGAAATAAATGAACTTCGAGCGCACAAAACACCCTCAAGCTCGAGTTCTTTCAAAGACTTCATAGAACAAAAAATTGAGAGCTATTTGCAAAACAACTATAAGCAAAAAATTTCTAATTAAATTATTGAAATGTTTTAAGAATACCCAGCAATTACCAGTGAAAATACACATCAAAAATTTTCGGATGTCTTAAAATAACATTTACGAAACTAGGCAATCACTTGAACAAACATAAATCGTGTTCTTAAAATTATGACTAAATAAATTACTCATTAAACCCGCTCAAAACCGTTGAAGTGTAGTAAGTAAAAAATAATTCTTACTTAAATAACCTGACAGTCTAAGTCCAAGCTTAAATTATCGTTTAATTAAGTTTCTATCTAATGATCTGTTTAGTAACACTCACACCGGTTCTGGTGTTAGGATAACCAGTCAAACTTCTGTGAGAAGTTATACCAAATACTTTCAACTATTCAAAGAGGTACAAGGAAAACCCCAATTTAGAAGTGTTACTTTAATTGAACGCAGATCCGAAATATCCTCCAACAATTAGGTTTAGAATTTTGATTTGATGCCAAATGTAATTAACTTCTCCAATCAGAGAAAAAAGATATATATTTCGTAACAATGCATTAAAACTCATTACTTCACAAAGTTCTAGAAACAGCTGTGGGCGGCCTACCTACTCATTTCAACAAATTAATCTGCAGCCTTTATTATTTTAATTAAATGTGCGATGATGCTTCATGCAGCAAAACTTGGACGTCTTAAATTTAGATTCTTAAATCCAACCAGCATGTGCTGTACATCACTAGACGAAGACAAACCAAAGAGGCAAAAAACATACCCACTCTAATCAAAAACTTAACTAGATCTTCTCCAAAATTTACACAGAATACTCGAATGTGGGTTTACTGACATACGGCGCTACAAAAGGACTCAACCATTTCAATGAAAAAGGACCACCAAAAATCATCTGCAGATTTTTCCATCCGTCCGGGCCTGAAAAAATATCTCGTCTAATATATATATCCGTAGTAGACGACCGCGTCCCAACTTAAGAAATAAAAAACGATAAAAAACTGAGCGAATATAAAGGTACCTTTAGAAAAACGCTCATCCTTCAAGGATTCAATACCGGTCTGATCAGCGCATATTGAACTGAGCTGAGTTCCAAACATAACAAGTGTGAATATCGAAAACAGCAGTCCTTCAAAAAGAAGGAAAATTAAGAGTAATGTGGTTACCGGGGGGCTGTAGAACGAACAGTCCTGCCAATCGCTACCTACACAAGAGACGATTTGCCATACTGTCCAGTAAAGAGCATGTATTGACAATAGTGCTATATATAACTAAAAACACAGGGGAAAGTTACAATAAAAAAATTCTTTAAGTAACAGCAGAACTACACTACTATATGCCAGAAAGAATGAAAAAACTACGAAACTGACTGTAAAAAGAACAAAAAATTTTTGGTTGCCTTCACCAACACAGTTGTTTACCCACGGACAGTGATGATCCATCCTTCTAACACAACGATTACAGACACTACAGTGATGGGCCCTTTCCGGTTTCACACTGCTACTGAAAATATCATTAACGCTAACTGTAGGTACTTTCAAAGAACAATAACCCTCAAATAAAAAGAACATAATGTAGAAAAATACTATAAGAGAAAATGTAAGTAATTAAACACCTAAAAAACTGAAAGAACAATTAAAATGTATTTTTAAGTGTAAAAAAAAGGACAGTAAAAAGATGCCTAATCATTACCATTTTGCACATTTATAAATAGCCACATTGCTTTGACGCTGCAACCTTTCAATAAATTCATCAGTGGCATTCCCTTTTGGGACAGCTCCTGGATCTGTCAACATAGTTTTTACATGAGACGCTACAGCAAGGAAAGCAAGAATGTGAAAAATCAACAGGTTTAGCGACTGATGTACCACGTATTTCGGCCAAGCAGCCATCATTACGCTTACAACGCAGAATTCACCATAAAAAATAAGAAGCCTGAAAGGGAACGACCACTACGAACCTGAGAATAATGAAAGTTTAATAAATAATGCTGCATAATCAATCCGCAACGGCTACTAAACTAAGCAACATCAAAAAGTAAAGTCCAAATTTTAGAAGATCAAAAAAGACTCTACAATTATGGGCTAGTTAGCCCACATCTAAGGCAGCAAAACCAATCCTTACGGCAGTGAACTAACAATCGGAACTAAAGTCCGAGAACGGTGAAATAGACAGCAGTTCAGAAGTGAAACAAAAAGAAAAAAACGAAAACAATATTAATAATAGTAAATAATAATAATAAAAACAAATTTATACCAGGTGATTACGGCACATGTTATACCGCAAGCATCCCGTACACACCATGGCTGTCCGCAACATTTTGTGTTATCTGGATTCATGGCTAATTGAAGCTCTTCAACTGAACAATTATATATTAATCAGAATATACTAATATCTGTCACGAAAACAAGACACCAAAAAATTTCTATTTCTTTTTAGCTAGAAACTGATCCTGATAAAAACAGCTACGCATTCTTCAAAGTGTCAGGCGGCTCATAAAAAAGTCTGCTTTTTTAATTCTCAACAGGTAAATAAAACCGTTTCTTCAAGAAAAGTTAAGACTTTTTAAATTCCACTATTGGTATCGGTTGAACAAAACCAAAAGTTAAACGAGACATACCTTCTTAGGCGTCACATCATCCTTGTTGATCCTCAACCTGCTTTCTAAAAAAAATCATAACAAGACAACAAACAATATTTCGTCAAGTTTTCGATAACTGATCAAAATTTAAACACTGGAAACAAAGAGCGCGTATTTCACAACTGTTTCTTCTGTCTTCACAAAAAAAAAAA